CAGAGTGAATGATTCAAGAGACCACAAAATAAACTGCAGTGCCTTTTAGGAACTAGACTTAGAAGTCACATATTGTCACTTCTGCCATATTCTATTGGTTACACGACCGATCTTTTTTTTAAGCATTGGGGGAATTACCAAAACAAAAAACCAAACCCACTGCTTTTGAGTTGATTCCAACTTATAGCAACCCTATAGGACAGAGTAGAACTACCCCACAGAGTTTCCAAGAAGCAGCTGCTAGATTCAAACCATTGACCTTTTGGTTAGCAGCCGAGGTCATAACCACTGTGCTCCAAGGGCTCCAGGGGAACTACACAAGGGTATAAATACCAGGAGGCTAAGATCATTGGAGGCCATCTTGGAGAATGCATACCACAGTCTCTTTGTCAAAAGTGAACTGAACATATATGCATATGTTCAGACTCTATTCTGTTCCATCCATATGTCTGTTCTTACACCAATGTCTTTATTACTGCAGTTTTATAGGTCTTTGAGTCAGATAGTGTAAGTCCTATAATTTTGTTCTTCTTTTTCAAAACTGTGTTAGCTGTTCTGTTGTTTGCATTTTTATATAAATTTTAAAGTTGTCAGTTCTTAGAAAAAAAGAATTTATAGATCAGCTTCAGAGAATTGATATCTTAACAATAATATGAGCATATCTTAATATAATGTGACATATCTCCATTTATTATTAAGTCTTTAATTTCTCTTAGCCATGTTTTATAGTTTCAGCGTACAGGTCTTGCACATATTTTGTTAAACTAATCTCTAAGTATTTCAGTTCTTACTGGATGCTATTGTAAATGTCATTGTTTTTAAAATTTTATTTTTCAGTTGTCCTTTGCCGGTATATAGAAATATAATTGCTTTTTGTGTATTGACCTTTTATCCTGCATCCTTGCTAAATTCACTTATTAGTCTGGTAGCTCTTTTGGATGTTCCTTAGAATCTACATACAAGATCATGTTATCTGTAAATAAAGACAGTTTTACTTCTTCCGTTTGCATAGGCTAGAATCTGTGCATGTATGTGTGCGTGTGTGTGCGTGTGTGTGTGTGTGTGTGTGTATCTTGCTGTCGAGTCACTTCTAACTCATGGTGACCCCGTGGGTGTCAGAGTAGAACTGTGCTCTGTAGGGTTTTCAATGACTGGATTTTCAGAAGTAGATTACCAGGCCTTTCTTCTGAGAACCCATGCCTAGCCTAGTATAGTGTTCAATAGAAGTAGTGAGAACAGACATATTGGTAGAATGAAAGAAAAACATGATAGAATAAGAATAAAAAGAAAACCCATGTAATATGAGTAGATGCAGAAAAAGCATTTGAAAAAAATCTAGCATCTGTTCCTGATAACCTACATAAAAGCTCTTAAGACTGTAAAAGAGTGCGAGAAGTCCTGAAACCAAAAAGTTTGTATTTGTCTCACTTTTTTGAATTCTTTTTTGTTTGTTTGTATTTTTCCTTTCTTTTGGATAGGTTGAATTAAAAAAAAAAAATCCATTTTATCTCAGCTACTGGTTTATTAGCTATGCTCTTATTTTTTTTTAGAGGTTGCTCTAAGGTTTAAAATATGCATCTTTAATGTATCACAGTGTACCTTTAAATAATAGTATACCACTTTCAGATACAATGTAAGAGCCTTCAATAATATACGTCCATTTTCCTACATTTTCTTGTGCTTATAATATTTTATTTCAACATGTGTTGTAAATCCTGGGGTACATTGTTACTACTTTTACTTTAAACACTCAGTAAGATCTTTTAGATTTACTATCATTCAAAATTTATAATACTCTTTATTCCTTTAGTACTCTCGATTCACTTAAGTAGATCCAAGTTTACATCTAGTATCACTTTCTTCCACCTGAAAAACTTCCTTTTTTGGAGAGGGGTAATATGGGAGCCCTGGTGGCACAGTGGTTAGGAGCTACAGCTGCTAACCAAAAGGTTGGCAGTTCAAATCCACCAGCCACTCCTTGGAAACTCTATGGGGCAGTTCTACTCTGTCCTATAGGGTCGCTATGAGTCAGAATCGACTCGATGGCAGTGGGTTTTTGTTGTTTTTTTTTTTTTTTGTAATATTGGTAAACTTTTTTTTTTCCAGTTTTTTTCTTTTTGTGAAAAAAATTTTTTTTCTTCCACTTTCATTTTTTGAAGAATATGGTCATCGTATTTAGCATTCTAAGTTGGCCATATTTTTCTTTAAACATTTTAAAGATGTTGCTCAATTTTTTTTTCAGTCTTTTATAACTTCTCTCACAAAAACTGTGCTTTTCTATCTTTGTCCCTCTGTATCTAAACTTTTTTCCTCTGGCTTCTTGTAAAATTTTCTGTTTTTTACTGCTTTTCAGGAATTTGGTTATGATGTGCCTTGGTGTAGTGTGTATATGTATTATCCTCCTCGAGGAGGGGCTTAATTGTGTTTCTTGGATCTGTGAGTTTACAGTTTTTATCAAATTTGGAAACTGTTTTGTGATTATTTCTTCAAATATTTTCTGGTTTCTCTTCTGTAGTATTTTTTATCCAAACCAGTGATATTTTCATTTCAAATATTGTTTTTGAACACTAGAAGTTACTTTTGGTACTTTGTAATGTCTTCCATTTCTCTCATGTTTTTCTTTAAACTTTTGAGCATATTTACAATAGCAGTTTTAGAGCCCTTATTGGTTAATTCTATCATCTCATTTCTAGGACTGTTGTAATAGACACATTTTCACCCTGGTTTCAGGTCACATTTTCTTTCTTCTTTATGTGTCTATTAATTTTTGGTTGGATGCTGGGTATTGTTAATTTTATATTGTTGAGTGGTGGGTTGTTTTTTTTTTTGTTTGTTTGTTTGTTTGGTTGGTTGGTTGGTTGGTTGGTTGGTTTTGCTTCTTTTGAGGAATTAAGGGCTTTGTTCTGACAGGCAGTTGAATTACTTGTAGATCAGTTCTGTCCTTTTGAGGCTTTTTCTTTAGCTTTGTTAGGAAGCAACTAGAGTATCCTTTGCTCCAGGTCTTATTAGCTCTGCTACTAAGGTATAATTCTTTTGAGATTTCTAGTGAATTTCTGGTTTTTCAACAAGGACAACTTTTCTAGTTAAAACTCTAACATTCCCTAGCACCATGTGAACTCTGGGAATTAATTTATTCTTTGCTTTACCTCATAGCGTTTCACTCTGCATGCCTGGCTTAGGGCTTGACCACAAACTAGAGTAGACCCCTTTGCAGATTTCTGGAATTTTCTGTGCATAACTCCTTCTTCTCTAGTATACTTCTGTGATCTGCTTAAGTTCTTCCTCTTTGAACCACAGTCTGAAAAGTGCCACCATGTAGAAAGCCAGGCAGTTGTAGGTCTCACTTCATTTCTTTCGCATCTCTCAGATATCACAGTCCCACACTTCTTATTGTCCAGTGTTTGAAAACAGTTGATTTCATATGTTTTGTCAGATTTTCTAGTTGTTTACTGTGGATCATACGTCCATTCCCAGTTACTCCATCATGAGCAAAATGGCAGATTCTTTCCTATCTTTTTACCTATTAAGTTAACCGTGGAGATACAAAATAAAGTTTATATTTCATTTTTTTCCTCCAGCAATTTGAGCCTTATAGGCCTGCCTATAGAGCTTAACAGTTTCATCCATAATTTCCCATTTGCAACCTAGTTTTTTTTTTTTTTTAATTGTGGTAAAACACACACAACCTAAATCTTGCTGTTTTAACCATTTTCAAGTGTACAGTCTGGTGGCATTAAGCACACACTCAGAATATTATATTATACCACTATTCATTTCTAAAACTTTTTCACCACCTCAAACAGAAACTCTGTACTCATTAAGTAATAACTCCTAATTCACCCCTGCCCCCAGACAGTGGTAACAACTAATCTACTTTGTGTCTCTATGCATTTGTCTAAGTATTTCTTATAAATAAGTCCATATAATATTTGTCCTTTTGTGTCTGGCTTTTTCACTTAGCATAATGTTTTCAGGATTTATCCATATTGTAGTGTATATTAGAAATTTATTCCTTTTGATGGCAGAATAATCCGTTGTACATACATACCACATTGTGTTTATCCATTCATCTGTTGATGGATCTTTGGATTCTTTCTACCTTTTGGCTACTATGAATAGTGCTGCAATAAACATGGGTGTACACGTATCTCTTTGAATCTTTGCTTTCACTTCTTTTGGGTGTATGCCCAGGAGTGGAACTGCTAGGTCATATGAAAATTCTATGTTTAACTTTTTGAGGAACTGCCGAACTATTTCCCACAGAGGCTGCACCGTTTTACATTCCCATCAACAATGGCGTATATCTTCTTCGGAGAATTGTCTATTCAAGTGCTTTGCTCATTTTTTTTATTGAGTTGTTTATCTTGTTGAATTGTAGGAAATCTTTATGTATTATGGATATTAAACCCTTATCAGACATGGTTTCCAAATATTTTCTCCCATTCTGTAGGTTGTCTTTTCACTTTCTTGATAATGTTCTTTGAACACATCCTAGTAATTTTTGAGGTGACATTTTGCATGGTTCAGCTGTAATACAGTAGTGAACAAAATAGTATAGTATTAATATATGATATTTTAAGCAAATAAAATATGTACATTGTATTGAAGCTCATATAAGTAAACATTTTTTAAAAAGTAAAGAAGTTGTTTAAATGGTAGCTTCATAAAAAATTGAGTTCATAGTTATAGTTATGAGGCAACTATTGATTTTAATCATCTTGTTTTCTGATCAAACAGTCTTAAAAGTAAAGTGAACGGGCTAATTATTAATGCCTAGTCAGAGATGATCTTCAATGAATTAAAATACTTGACAGTATTCCTGTAACTTACGTTAAAATCTGCATGGTTTTGCCATGTAGCCTTTCTTTCCCTTATTAGTCTTAAGGAAAAAAAACAAGTAATAATAGAACAAAACCCCATATTATTTCATGTAAGTGTTGTGCATTCTTAGACTATTAGTGTATTTTTTAATCTTTGCTTTTTATTTTTTTGTTTTTCAGATTGTCAGTATTTAAAGAGACCACATCATGCGTGAGTACAAGCTAGTGGTCCTTGGTTCAGGAGGCGTGGGGAAGTCTGCTCTGGTAAGTTAGTCATCTAACTATAACCAATTAGCACAGTACTAGAACTTTGATATTTCCTTACTTTCAAACTTTTAGTCCTAAATAGAAGAAGTCCTGATGGCACAGTGGTTAAGTGCTTGGCTGCTAACTGAAAGGTCGGCAGTTTGAACCCACCCAGCGGCACTGTGGGACAAAAGACCTGAAGATTTGCTCCCGTAAAGGTTATAGCCTATGGAGGAAACCCTATGGAGCAGTTCTAATCTGTCATACAGGGTCATTACAAGTTGGCATTGACTCAGTAGCACACAACAACAACCAGTCCTAAACACAAAAGCTGGCCATATTATTTTGACTCTTAGTATCTGTCCTGTAGGGGCAGGGAATCATTCAAGAACCACAGATATGTAATATTATAATGATGGTCGTTCATTCTTTCATTTGCTAAATGTTTATTGACTACTATGTGTCAAGCTCTAGTGTTCATGATTCAAAGAGGAGAAAGATTGTTTTGATTTTAAAGGAATTTATATTTCAGTAAGAAGCCCTGCTGGCACAGATAAAGTGCTCGGCTGCTAACCAAAGGTCGGCAGTTCGATCCACCAGCCACTCCACAGGAGAAAGATGTGGCAGTCTGCTTCCCTAAAGATTTACAGCCTTGGAAACCCTATGGGGCAGTTCTACTCAGGGGAGACCACTATTATAGATACCAGTAAAATAAATCCTGCCTTGCCTCCACCCTAGACTTAAGTGGAATGAAGATTATTTGTTGTATACAGGCTATATTCATTCAGTAAGTATTTGTTGAGCATCTAAACTGTCAGGCACTAGGATTAAAACAGTCACAGTCCTTCATGGAGCTTACATTATAGTCGGAGATATGTAATAAACATATAAACAAAAATCTACTTAATCTTAATTGTGAGAGAGATACTCTGAAAGAAAAGTATAAATTGTTAAGAGAAAGCCTATGACAGGTGGACCTAAATTAGCATTTGAATGACTGAGAGAAGGTCAGTGTCTTAGTTTCTTAGTGCTGCTATAACAGAAATACCACAAGTGGGTAGCTTTAATGAACAGAAATGTATTTTCTCACAGGTTTGGAGGCTAGAAGTCTGAATTCAAGGCACTGGCTCTAGAGAAAGGCTCTCTGTGTCCACTCTGTTAGAAAATTCTTGCCTCTTTTAGCTTCTCTTCCTTGGTTTCTTGGTGATCTCCATGTGGCATCAATCTTTCCTGCATTTGTGCTTGCTTGTTCCTGTGCCTAATCCGCTCCTTTTATGTATCAAAAGTGATTGATTTAAGACACACCCTACACTGATATGGCCTCATTAACGTAGAGAAACCCCTATTCCTAAATGGGATTACATCTACAAGTATAGGGATTAAGATTTACAACACATATTTTTGGGAGATACAATTCAATCCCTAACAGTCAGTATAGCTGGAGCAGGAGGGAACAGGGAGGAGAGTAAAGAGAAATGATATGAGAGGTAGGCAGAGGCCAGATCATGCCTTGAAGACCATATAGAAACTTGCAACTTATTCCTAATACCAATGAAAAGCCATTGAAGGCGAGTGTTTTTGTTTTTGTTTTTTTTGGTAGGGGGTGCAGGTGACAGAATCAGATACACATTTTAAAGAGACCGCCTTGGCTGCTCTGCGTAGAGTACTTTAGAAGAGGGGTGGAGTGGATGTGGGAGACCAGTGGAAGTTAATGCAGCACACCAGATCATTAGTTGTAGAAGCTTGGGTTAGGGCCATGGGAGTGAAGAAGAGAGAAGTAGATAGGTTGAGTTAAATAGGAGGTAGAACTGATATAACTTAGTGCTGGATTGATGTGAGGACAAAGAGAGAAAGTAGCTGTCAAGGATTTGACTCCCCAAGTTTCTAGTTTGAGATACTAATTTTATGATGGGCCATTTAAAGGGAGGGGAAACACTGGTGAATAATGAACTGATTTGAGAGTGAAAATCAGGAGTCATTGAATTTTATTTTTTTGTGAGCTGTTCAAGTAGATATGTCAAATAAACAATTGGATCTTCAAGATGAATGCTTAGAAGAGAGGTGCCATCAATTTATCAGTGGTGTTTAATTTTATGAGAATTATATTACTGCTGAGATTGTAAATTAGTACCATGACGGCAATGGATTTTTTTTGGTGGAGAACATTTGGCAATATCTGTCATTTATTTTTTTTATTGTAAAAAAATATATAACACAACATTTGTCTATTTAGCATTTTTCAGGTATACAATTTAGTGATAATCACTTTCATTAATCATGTTGTGCAACCACCACCCATAATTGTTGCCATTTTTCTCAACACCATAAACAAACACTGCTTCCTAAACAATGGCTTCCCCTTCCCATCACCCTCCTCCCTCTGGTAACTACTGATGAACTTTGGTTACTATACATTTGCCTATTCTTGTTATTTCATGTAAGTGAGATCATACAATATCTGTCCTTTTGTGGTTGACTTAATTCACTGAGTATAAAGTTTTCAAAGTTCATCTATGTCGTAGCATGGATCAGGACTTCATATCTCTATGGCTGAGTAGTATTCCATTGTATGTATGTACCACATTTTTTTAATCCATTCATCCATTGATGGATACTTAGGTTGTTTCCACCTTTTGGCTATTGTGAACAGTGCTCCAGTGACCATTGGTGTACATGTGTCTGTTTGTGTTGCTGCTTTCAGGTCTCTTTGGTATATATATACCTAGGAGTGGAATGGCTGGGTCATATGGTAGCTCTATTTTTAGTTTTTTGAGGAACTGCCACACTGTTTTCCATAGCGGCTGTACGACTGTACCATTTTGCATTCCCACCAGCAATGGATAAGGGCTCCAATTTCTTTACGCCCTCACCAACATTTGTTATTTTTCGGAATTTTTTTTTTTTTTTTTAAATTTGTTAGCCGTTATTTTAAATGCATGTACTTACAGTTCATCAACTCCCTTTCTAGAAATTTATCGCATACATAAGATCACATATGCAAAATGACATGATCAAGGATATTCATTGCAGCATTCTTTACAGTGGCAAAAGTTTGTAAACAACCTAAATGCCTACCTGTAGTGGCTAGTTTAGTACATTTTAATACATACTTAGGATAGACTACTATACAGAATTAAAAAGAATGCGGCAGCTCTGCATATACGGATATATAATGATATCCAAGACATATTACTTAAGGAGAAAAAGCTACCAAACAGTATATACTACCATTTGTGTTTTATTAAAAAAGAAGAGGCAGGGGAGTTACCTATAAAATGCATAGAATCTCTCTGCAAGGTTAAATAAGATATTTATAACATTGAGTACTTCCTTGGGAGTGGAATTGGGTAGCTGGCAACAAGGGTGGTAGGTAGGTTTAGTTACCACTGCATACCCTTGTGTGCCTTTTGAATTTGGTCCCGTGCCCATAAATTACCTTTTCAAAAATAAAGAACTTAAAAACCTACAGGAATGAATGAGGCTGTACAGGGAGAGACTAGAGAGAGAAGAGAAGAACCCAGGACCGAGCTTTGAGGCCCTCTCAACCTTTAGCGAGTGGGTAGGGTAGGAGGAACCAGCATAGGTGAATGTATGTTTACTTGACTATTCAGAGGTCAAGAAGGAAGAGGAAAAAGATGATCTCGGAACATAGAGGTAGTTGGCCTTGATAAAAGCAGCTTCAGTAGGGTGATGGTGCTATAACCATACTGAGGTAGGTTGAAGAGAGTAAATGAGAGGTGAGGAAATGGAACTACCATTGTAGACAGTTGAAGAAGGTTGATTATGAGAGGGAGCAGAGAATCATGGGGTTAAAGGAGGTTTTTGTTTTAGAATGAAGATAGTAGAGCATGTTAATAAGCTGGAGGCAGTCCAGTGGAGAGGTAAATAATGATGTAGGAAAGGAAGGGAATAATTTTTGTACAAAAGACCATCAGTAGATAAATAAGGAAGGAGGGGATCCAGTTGGAAAACCAAAGGAATGAAAGTCCATATGAATGAGTGGGATGTCCCTGAGAATTGAGAGAGAATGGGATTCAGAGGAGTAGTGAAGGGATTGCTTTTAGTAAGAAAGAAGTGAGGAGTATGGGATTGATTTTCAGTTTTGCAAGTCTCTTTAACATTAGGCTTATAGAAAGCAGTTGGATTCTTATACTTGCTTCTTCATCCAATCTGTTGTTATATCACGTTATATACCCTTCGGGAAACTCCTCTATAAACTTATGAGAGAAGGAGAGTATGTCTTTTTATTATTAGGAAAATAATTCTGACATCAGGGGCCCTCTGCCCTAGACCAAAGCATATTAGGAAGCCATAGTAGACTGTTTTTCATATTTAAATTATGTGTAGTACTAAGGAGATGAGGTGATTAAATCCTTGATAAAAATAATGATTCAGGTTTTTGGTTTGGTTATCTCATGAGTCTCCTTTGAAGAACAGGAGCTTTGTCAGATAAAAAAGTCTGAGGTTTACTATACAGGTAGTCCCAGATTTATGATGGAGTTTCGTTGCAATGACTTCATCATAAATCTGTTCTGATGTAGGTCACGTACCTTTTTTTTTCTTCTTTTCATTGTTATTGCCTTTTATTATCAGTGTCTTTATAAGTCCAATCTATATTTGTCTTTGGGGGTTGGAAACATTACATCTGAGAATGATAACACTGGCAAATTACACGTTACAAAAAACAAACAGACAGTCATAAGTATAGTTTGTCGTAACTCAAATACGTCGTCAGTCAGTGGCTACCTGTATTTGCATTAATCTGTTGAGCTCAGGCTAAAATAGTGTATAAAATACTCCTCTGATAATTTAAGTGTAGATGACCTCAGTCCACATTCTTGCCCTTGCTTTTAGACAGCAGTGTACCTGACACTGTTTTAAAGCTGTCTAGGAAAGATCACAATCATCTTCTGTATTTATTTGCATTCACTAAATGATAGAACGTCTAGTTATTACTCTCTCCTTACAGAAATCTCAGCGATAAAAGTAGATAACATCTGAAAAAGATGGGTAGGTAGTGTTTTCCAGTGGAAAGTGTAAGGCTTAGAAATTGGGAAGCTGGCAAATGGGGAAAGTAACACTTCTGGCGTGAATATGAAATTTGAATGTGATTATAAAGTGACTAGCTCAGTGCTTGGAACATAGTAGACATTCAATAAATTTTAACTCTCTTTTCCCTTTCCTCCCATAATTAGAAAGATTGTTTTAAGACTTTTTTTTTTTCCCCAGGGGGAACCTTTTTTTATGTCAGCTTTGAAGGCATTGGATAAAAGTTACTATAGGCATATAAAGGGGTAATAGAAGGAGTTTATTTAACTACTGATAAATTAGAACCTGTTTTCTTACCTGCTTCTTCATTGTTTTTAAAACAATATGGTAATTATTCAACAGTGTCATGTCAGCAGCAATATGACTGACGGTTTTTAACATGACCACTTCCTTTTGTAATAAGCTATGCTCTTCATTATGGATCTACCCTTATATTGAAAAGTAATAACTATATATTTTACCCAGAGTTGTTACATAATTTTGTTTAATCTTTATAATTTTGTGAGGTTAAGTAAAATTGAAGAGTTTTTTATTTTTCTTGTAGTCGTTAACTTTTCTCTGCTTTTTTTCCCCAGACAGTTCAGTTTGTTCAGGGAATTTTTGTCGAAAAATATGACCCAACGATAGAAGATTCCTACAGAAAGGTAAGGTGTGGAACCTGTATACACATATTTACAAGTGGTTCTTTATGACTTTAAAACTTGATTCGTGGAATTTTTTTTTTTTTTTAATAATTTTGAGAAACGTGCAAATGTTCAGTATCTATTTTAAAAAGTTTCACCAAGACAGATTGTTTCTATAGAATACTACTTAGGTATACAGGGCTCCGTGTTCTATTCCTGATGAGTAATCTGTTCTTTATACATTTTTCTGGTGGGAATTTTTTTAACATAGAAAAAGTTGCAAATAAATAGTAAGTGTGTTTTTTACTGTTCTTTTTGTGAATTAAGATTACTTTTATGCTGCAATTTTTTTGTTCAGTTATGTAATAACTTTAAAGATATTTCATTTTTAAACTACAAAAAATTAGTTGATCTTGACCAAAAAATAATATTCTATTTAATTTTGAGACTAGCTAGAATTGTGGGAAATTTTCATGATTTTATTTCCCAAATATATTAAGACAAAGAAGACAATGTTATAAGAAAGACTAGAAGCCGAGGATATACCAAGAGAAAAAATTTTTTTTGTGATTAAATCTACCTTTCAACAAATAGGGAAGAATTGCTTTTTTAGATGTGTTTAGGATTTACCTTTAAGAGTGCTACAACTTTTGTTGAATTAAGTCCATCAAGGAGTATTGGCAGAGCAGTGTCACCATCTGCAAATTGGTTAGAAAATAGTGCTCTGGATTCATTGAACAATATAGACCTAACTCATTAACCATTGAATATATCCAGTTACAGATTTTGCAGGTTACCACACCTGTACCATAATTATGTGATGGGGCAATGAGTTTGTGGTACCACCAATGGTACCTTCATCAATCCCTGATCTGACACAGAAGCAGAGTTTAAAATAGTCCTAAGGTTAAGAGACTTCTTTTTAAAAGACACTATTGCTTTACTGAAATTTCCCAGAATAAATTGTTAGTTAAAGCTGTAACTACAGAGATCTGTGCCTAGATTGCTAAAGGGCTAACACTTTCCTTAATCCCTGCTTTATTAAAAATTTTCCACACAGTCGATAGCTGATACTTCCTTTAGGCCAACCTTTTCTTCTTTTATAAAGATACTGGAAAAATGAAGTTCAGTGTATAAAATTTCAACCTTTGTTTTGCACAGTGCTTTTCCAAAGAAGTGCCTTTTTCTTTCTTTTTTTTATTTTTACTTTTTATTGTGCTTTAGGTGAAAGTTTGCAGAACAAGTTAGTTTCTCATATAAAACTTTATACATATATTGTTATGTGACCCTAGTTGCTATGCCTGTAATGTGACAGCACGTTCCCCTTTTCTACCCTGGATTTCCCGTGTCCGTTCAACCAGCTCTCCTATCCCTTTCTGCCTTCTCATCTCGCCTCTGGACAGGAGCTGCCCATTTAGTCTCGTGTATCTACCTGAAATAAGAAGCACACTCTTCACGAGTATTAGTTTACATTTTATAGTCCAGTCTAATCTTTGAAGAGTTGGCTTCAGGAATGGTTTTAGTTCTGAGTTAACAGAGAGTCTGGGGGCCATGTATTCTGGGGTTCCTCTGGTCTGAGACCATTAAGTCTGGTCTTTTTATGTGAGTTCTGTACCCAACTTTTCTCCCGCTCCGTCGGGGACTCTCTGTTGTGTAGAAGTGCTTGTTTCTTAAATTGAGGACTATATGACCTCAGCACTATTTATTTTATTGTGGTAAAATGTGTATAATCAAAAATTTGCCAGTTTAGCCACTTTTAAGTGTATAATTCAGTGACCTTAATTATACTCACCATGTCGTGCTGCCGTCATCACTATCTATCTCTGAAAGTCCCATTATGCCATAACAGAAACTCAGTAAATGCTGTTATTTTAGCACTTCTGTGTACTTTATTGTACTTTATTTCTTAAATTTAAATTCTATGTGTTAAATTTTGGGCATATTTTAGTCACATATGAACATTGTGGGCATGGTAAGTTGACACAATTGTCTCTACTCCACAAAGTCTTCTTTTCTGCATTTTGAACTATTTAATACATTTGTGCTTTGTTTTCTCTGAAGATAAGTATATACATTTATACACATTTTTTTCTGTTAGAACTGTCCGTTTGCAGTTTTTCTTAAATTCAAAAATGTGACATTGACCATATATATATGTATATACACACACACACACATACATACACACATATATATAAAATTGTGTTTAAGGTGAGCATTTACACAGCAAATTCGGTTCCCATTTAACAATTTCTGCACAAATTATTTGGTGATACTGGTTATATTTTTCACAGTGTGTCACTGTTCTTATTCGTTCTGTTCTGGTTATATCATTTCCAGTACCCTAGTTTTCCTGCCCCCTTACCTTCTCATCTTTGCTTTAGAGTAATTTTTGACCATTTGGTCTCCTATAGTTGATTTTTTTTTAAAAAAAGAAGCTCATTACTCACAGGGTGGATTTTTTATTTTATTACCCAAGCTGTTATTTAGCTAACAGGTGACCTTAAGGGATAATTTCAGTTTAAGGTTTGAAGTGTTTCTCAGGGCAGTAGTCTCAAGGAGTTCTGCAGTTTCAGCCAGTCCAGTAAATCCAGACTTTTTAAGCATTTGAGTTCTGTTCTGTATTTTTCTCCCATTCTGTAAGGGTCCCTCTAATGTGGCCCTGATCAGAATGGTCAGTAGTGGCAGCTGGGCACCATGTGGTTCTTCTGGTTGACCGTTTACCCTCTAATAATAACAAATAAGACTCATTATCTCAGAGCTTACAATCGTCAGAAAATATCTACATTCTACATTAACCATCCTGGCTTCAATGATTTTAATAGAATGTGCTTGAGATCTCCGATTCCTTATCGTGGTACCAAGGTCAGTCTCAGTTAGTGCAGCCTACGTGCTGGAGAAAGTCTTTGTAGTTGTTATTAGATACTTTGAGCGAAGAGGCGGAAGGATAACAGAATGACATTTTGACTTTACCTTTCCATTTTTACCCTTTTTCCCCACAGCAAGTTGAGGTAGATTGCCAACAGTGTATGCTCGAAATCCTGGATACAGCAGGAACAGTAAGGATGTTTTCTCTTTCTCTCTTTTTTCTTTTTTTGGTAGATTTTAATTTGCAGAACAGATTTTATCATCTGAATAATTCTTCTCAGTTAAAATAACCATTCTGATTAAGAACAAGTTCTCTAAATGGAGGACTTCTTAAATTTTCTAATATCTGTGAAATCATCTGTGATGTACTTAATGCTTACACATCAAAATTAGATTGTATGTTGAGTTCACCTGTAGAATCTGTGTTGGTTTTAGTGTAATGAGGTAAGGATTATGCTGTCAGTGCTATAAAAAAAAAAAAAAAAACCCAGAATTTTAATGATAGATATTTCTGTGAATGTAAATAAGACTGTCTCAACACCGCAGTCAATCACTTTTATAAAAATTATTTTTGCTTTTTATTAGCATTTTAATATCTGAAGGAACTAGTGGCAGCTACTTGTTTTCTGTTGGAGGCAAAAATCTTTAGGATTCTTTTAAGCTTTATTTTTCTCATCTTAAAATGAATATAATAACACTGGGACTCAGATCATAGGATGCTTATTATAATTAAATGAGATAATAATTATAAACCACTTGGTACAGTGCCTGTTATAAAGTGTGGACTTTGTGTATTTGCTTTTATTCTTACTGCCTTCATTGATACCATCACCTTTAAAATTTTGTTATTAATTACTGGTGATTTCAAGTCCTGAGTTTATGATACCTCAGATCATCTCTAAATGAGTATGGGTTATGCAATAAATTTCTCAAATAAAATTAATTTTAGTTCACTTAAAAATAATTATAGTCTGTTCTTCAAAATCACTTAAAAGCCAACTAAAGATGGTCAAGGGTTCCCGTCTAATTCTACAATTCATGGTCATTGTTTCTAGTCTCATAATTAGGGAATGGGAAGAACATGTATCATGTCTTATGTTTTTGGTCATAATAGCATATAATAAAAATTTTAGTAGCTCACTCATGATTATTCTGATTTCAGTATTTCTAGTATACCTTCAAGAAATCATATGTATAATTGCATACTTTTTATCTAGGAGCAATTTACAGCAATGAGGGATTTGTATATGAAGAATGGCCAAGGGTTTGCACTAGTATATTCTATTACAGCTCAGTCTACATTTAATGACTTACAAGACCTGAGGGAACAGATTTTACGGGTTAAGGACACAGAAGATGTAAGTATTTTTTCCATCTATAATAAAACATACCACAATCTCTCCATGGCCAAATAAAAAAATGCCTGTTTTTCTCTGTCAGTCAGTTGAGGATTTGGAGGGTACAAAAGAGCCTCTGTGAAGGCAGCGGGGTGGGGGACGAGAGCCTTCAAAATTAGCTTTACAAACTATGTGCTGAGATGTTATAAAATGAGGAAATACATGCTCATAGCTCATTGTGCTATATGGGTGATAAGTGCAGTGGAGAAGGAAGAGGAGTCAAAGAAAAGTTCATAGAAATGAGACTCGAGCTGAGCTTTGAAAGGTGATAGTTAAGTCAGAAACAATGTTGAAAGAACATTATTAAGAACCATAATGGTATGTTCCTACTTCTAAAATTCTACTGATATAGTTTTAACATACAGTTTTATTTTTCCTTTGATTTATATCAAGATTTTTTTTTTTATTGTGCTTTAGGTGAAGGTTTACAGAGCAAATTAGTTTCTCATTAAACAATACAGAGTTTTGTGACATTGGTTGAATTATGTTAAGAATTTAATTAACTGTGTTTTTTTCCTTCATTTTGTTAATTTTATTTTTGTTTTAGAATTCTTATCTCATTTGATAAATAGTATTTTTGTTAGTGTATGGTTTTTTTTTGTTTTTGCAATGAAGTGTGTATGTTACATGTTTACCTTGGTTTTGAGCTACAGAGAATTATTTTTCAGTTACATAAATTAAGATATAAAATTTCAGTTGTACCTTTCTTTCTGTGTTTTTGTTTTTCTCTCTCATTGTTAATGGGAGCGTAGGCATCTGCTCAGGACCTTGACTTTGGGTAATATTGTACACCGGCGGAATTTATACTCTGTGACTCATGCCCAGCCGTAACCTAATGAATAGTTCTCTTCCTTCCTCTGACTAATTTATCCAAGCAAGTTCTGTTTTCATAGACAGTGACATGCAAATCACTGAGCTCTGGTAATGTTCATCCCTTTATTCCATATAATAAACTAAAAAAGATGGAGTTGTAGATGTATTTTAATTGCCTATATTTTAGGTACAAGGGCCATCATGTCCCTTAAGTTCTTTCTTTTATATAGTGTCCATCACCTCACAAACAAATGACTTTGTTGTAAGGACACCTTTTAACTGAGGAAGTTACACAGTTTGTTAGCTGCCCATTTCACTGGAAGTAGGAAGTTGGACATGAACGTAGGCAAGCATTTATGTTACGGAAAAAAAGGAAAGACATAGTTGTTTAGTGACTTTATTTTTATTGTTAATCCTCCCTGACGTCTCACCTAAACTGGTCTTCAGCTCTAGAACCTGTTATTATGTTGGTCTTGCTACTACTTTTAGCATTTGTTGGATCTGTGAGATGAAGCACTTGAACCACAATTAGGCTCTTATATTGCAGGAGGTTTCCTTTTCCTTGAGATTTTTATGCTTGGAATTCAGCTGTTAATAGTAGTCCACATGAGAAATTTGGTAGTATAGTCTTAAAATAATTTCGCAGATGAATGTAGGTAGGACCTCTTCCGTTTTTTTGTGTCTCTTCCCTCTCCACCTTCTTCCCCCCTCCTCTGTCCATGTGCATGCGTATACCTTTTTTTAAGCACTAGAGGAAGCATTCAGTCTTAACTAATACGTTTCAGTTAGTGGTAAGTAGTTGTTACTTATAAGAAAAGGCTAAGTAATGAGTATGATAGTGCTCATTTTATGTTTTTTTCCTTTTCACAGGTTCCAATGATTTTGGTTGGCAATAAATGTGACCTGGAAGATGAGCGAGTAGTTGGCAAAGAACAGGGTCAGAATTTAGCGAGACAGTGGTGTAACTGTGCCTTTTTAGAATCTTCTGCAAAGTCAAAGATCAATGTTAATGAGGTAACCTACAGCTGCGGGCAGCACAAAAAAGTGCCTTTTTAATTTCATTTGCTTTAAGTTAACAGCAAAAACAAAAAAAAAATTTTAAGAAAATTTTAATGCTTTTTATTATCCTTTTAAGCAATCTAGATTGTATCAATTTATAGAAAACATGAAGTAATTTTGAGAAACCGTATTCTTTAGCTTGCATAGAAGATTACTTTGATGGCTATAATGGGGACACTTAAATTTGCCTTACTGGAAAAGAGGAAGTTCAAATTAAAAAATGTTTAACGTCCTGCTAAGCTTCTAAATGATATGACAGAAAGTGGTGTCTGAAAATTGTCATATCACCCTTATAACAAGTATCTGCGTTGTAAAGTCAAGGAAGAAAATAGAAGAATCAAAGTAGTTGTTATAATGAACTTATGTTATACAGAAGATGAATGTGGATAGCATATACATTGATAGCACAGAATTTGGTGTTGTGAGCCCTGTCTGACCTTTGGTACAATAACTGACTCAAAGAGAGGCATCTGTGTAAGTAAGGATACGTAACCGTAATTCACTCGATCCTTTAAGCCAGATACAGCAAGTGCACAAGGTGTTTTTTTGCCCCTGACTTAAGCACCCCACTATGTTGAGAACATAGCTGTGGACAGGAATGCTCAACAAGTAAACTGCTTCCATGGATGTATAGGGCCAAAAGTTTACTAGGCCCCTAAATAATTAGTACAATGTTCAGTAGCCTCCACCAACCAAGCAAAAATGGAAGAAGATTCCCTTTGTTTTTGTTAACTTTAATGTAAGTCTTTAAAAAAAAAAAAGCATAGAGTAGGCTTCTTCCCTTTTAACTGCAGTGCGGAAGCTGTTGTGTCTTAACTTGCCTGTGTGCTTGCCATTTGTGGCATCACAGGTGTCACTTAGAACTCAGATCACTTAAAACATAGAAGAGTAAGAGTGGGTTAGGTTATCAGAGTCCTATTCTTTTGCTTACTGTTCCTCTCTGGCCTTTGGTTCTTTAGGTCATTTTTCCTTGACTAATATGGTTTTAGACTATTATTTAACTTTAAAAATGACCAAATCACTTTAAACACTTGGCAGGAAAAAAATTAAGCTTGCTACAATCTCTGTTTTACAAATAATCAAGAATGTCAGAGCTTGCTTTTTTATGTAAAACCAGTTTTAACAAGTACATAAAAACTAAGAAGTTTGTAATTTTTATTCATTCAACAAATATTTGTTGAGTGCCTACTACGTGTCTGGCACTGTGTTAGGCACTGGGATAGCAGTCATCCAGACAGCCACTGTTCCTGCCCTAAAGAACTCTACATCCTAATGGGGAACAAGTCCTGCTGAGATCTCCAAGAACAATTATTTCTCATTCACTGCCAAGTAAATGAAAGGAAGTATAATATGCTTCCAGCTTCAACTTTCTCTGGTTGTGGAATCACATTTTCCTAGATGTTATTTTGAAAAATGGGGCTAATCATAAAATTTTAATTTTTTAGCACAGTCTTAGTTTTCCAAAGGAAAATCATGAATCTTAAATAACTGATATAAAACGCATTCGATTTGGTGGATGTACTTGGCTAGGGAAACAGTGATGCAGCCTGTTTGGCCTTAGAAATCTGGTCCCGTGCATAGGCTCTCTCTCTATGGGAACCAAAGCACAGTGAAAGAAGCTGTTTCTCACCTTTTAAGCATTAAATGTTTGGGGGAACCTACATGCTTCTAAACCTTCTCTGGGTTACAGTTTCCAGTGCAACAGAGCTACTTTTTCAGAGCAGTCGTGTTAACATCAACCCTTGACATGAGGATCTATTTAAAAAAATAAACAAAAACTAGATAAATAAATAAAATGAAATTCATTAGCCGTCTTAAGAATCTTTACTCTTTTTGGAAAACATACAAATTTCATATTAGAAGTTCTTGAGAGCATAGTAATTTACATTCCTTTTAATATCTTTCTCTTTATAGCCCAATAACCTAGCTGCAGGGTTCCTTTGATAGTTAATAGTTCCTCAGACAGCTAATGCCTTGCAAACATTAGTGTGATTTCTGAATTCCTGAAGATAGAGGGATGATACTTCCATAAGATTTAATTCTTGGCCTCAAATTTGAAAATAGACGGGGAGTTGGATAAAGAGCCCTCTTTTTAACTGTTACCCACACCACTTTTGCTATGTTCTGAAACAGTAGTACGTAGCTATGCCAGAATCACATCAGTCACATCGTTCTTGATCAAGAATTAATTGTTCTGTGCTGAAGCTGGAGTAATAATTGGAATCAAGACATCTCAATTTAGGAATGGGAGAGGGATTGAGAAACTCTATTCTGTGTTCCCTTTAGATTTTTCTATAGTTCAGAGAGATGAGGAAGAACCTAGGCTGGGGCCAATCAGCATTTCTAACCAAATATTATAGTTCGAACTTAACCTCATCACTGAACCATCTGCTGCTGTGAGGTATGCAATGTTTTCCAAAGAAATAATTTAGAATACTACTACAAACATCAGTTACCTTTCTGTGTAGTACCAGAAACTGGAAACTGGCTCGCATGAAGAAAATGAAACAGAAACTACATACAGTTTTGATTAACTTACTGCTTTAGTTTACCCTTGTATTACTTTTTATATTATAGCTTATGCATTGAGGCTAGGGAATTAATGAGACTTCATTTGTGGCTTTTGCACATTAAGTTCTTGAAGGCTTTAGAGTTGTAAAGCAACGTGGACTTCATAGTTGTGAAACAGAAGCTACCATTTTGTTCATAATTCTTTGTTTTCCAATTTTCCTTGGAAATAAGATAATTAAATGGTTTGAAGATGAGAGTGGGGAGGATAGAGCAGGAAAAAAATGTGAAGGAATCACTTTTATAGCATTGGGATAAATCATTCCTCAGTTTTGTTTTTTCTTTCTTTTAATTTAGCCTTATAATCTTTGGACCATTTTAAAAATTAAATAAATAATTGTTTTATGTGAGTACCATCTTTAAAAAATGTAAGCCAATAATTTTTTGAAATATTTTCTTTTAAAAACTTAACAGAAAAGATGTAAGAGCAATTAAAAGAATTTTTTTGCCCTTCACCCAGATATAACAATTATTAACATTTTGCCTCATAAGTTTGCAGATATCATGCTCCTTTACTCCTAAATATTTTAATATGTGTGTCCTTAGAGCAAAGACATTCTCTTACATAACCGCAACACAGTTATCAAAATCAGGCAAATTGACATTGACACAGTACATGTTTGTTATATACAGGCGTGCCTCTTTTTATTACTCTTCACTTTATTGCGCTTCGCAGATAAGGCGTTTTTTAGAAATTGAAGGTTTGTGGCAACCCTATGTCGAGCAACTCTGTCAGCGCCATTTTTCCAACAGCATGTGCTCACTTCATGTCTCTGTGTCACATTTTGGTAATTCTCACAATATTTCAAACTTTTTCATTATTATTATATCTGTTATGGTGATCTGTGATCAGTGAGTTTTTGTGTTACTATTGTAATTGTTTTGGGGTATGACGAACTTAATAAGTGTTGTATGTGTTCTGAGTGTTCCACCGATCAGCTGTTCCCCTCTCTCTGTTCCTCTTCTTGGGCTTCCCTATTTCCTGAGTCAGATGAATATTGAAATTAGCCCAGTTAATAACCCTACAGTGACCTCTAAGTGTTCAAGTGAAAGGAAGAGTCGCACGTCTCTCAGTTTAAACCAAAAGCTAGAAATAATTAAGCTTAGTAAGGAAGGCATGTCAAAAGCCGAGACAGTCCAAAAGCTAGGCCTTGTGCACTAAACAGTTAACCAACTTCTGAATGCAAAGGAGAAGTTCTTGAAGGAAATTAAAAGTGCTACTGCAGTGAACACATGAATGATCAGAAAGTGAAACAGCCTTATTGCTGATATGGAGAAAGTTTGAGTGGTCTGGATAGAAGATCAAACCAGCCCCAACATTCCCTAAGCCAAATCCTAATCCAGAGCAAAGCCCTAACTCTCTTCATTTCTATGAAGGCTGAGAGAGGTGAGGAAGCTACAGAAGAAAAGTTTGAAGCTAGCAGAGGTTGGTTCATGAGGTTTAAGGAGAGAAGCCATCTCCATAACATGAAAGTGCAAGGTGAAGCAGCAAGTGCTGATGTAGAAGCTGCAGCAAGTTATCCAGAAGATCTAGCTAAGATAATTGATGAAGGTGGCCACACTAAACAACAGATTTTCAATGTAGATGAAATAGCCTTATATTGGAAGAAGGTGCCATCTAGGACTTCCACAGCTAGAGAGGAGACGTCAATGCCTAGCTTCAGAGGACAGGCTGACTCCCTTGTTAGGAGCTAATGCAGCTAGTGACTATGTAAGTTGGAGCCAGTGCTCATTTACCATTCCAAAAATTCTAGGGCTCTTAAGAATTATGTTAAATCTACTCTGCCTATGCCCTGTAAATGGAACAAAAAAGCCCGCATGGCAGCACATCTGTTTACAACATGATTTACTGAATATTTTAAGCCCACTGTTGAGACCTACTGCTCAGAAAAAAAGATTCCATTCAAAATATTACTGCTCATTGACAATGCACCTGGTCACCCAAGAGCTCTGATAGAGATGTACAAGATTAAAGTTGTTTTCATGCCTACTAACACAACACCCTTGCTGCAGCCCATGGATCAAGGAGTAAATTTGACTTTTAAGTCTTATTGTTTAAGAAATACATTTTGTAAGGCTGTAGCTGTCATAGATAGTGATTCCTCTGATGAATCTGGGCAAAGTAAATTGAAAACCTGGAAAGGATTAACCATTCTAGGTGCCAGTAAAAACATTTGTGATTCATGGGAAGAGGTCAAAATGTCAATATTAACAGGAGTTTGGAAGAAGTTGATTGCAACTCTCAGGGATGACTAAGAGGGGTGGGTTCAAGACTTCAATGGAGGAAATAACTGCAAATGTGGTGGAAATAGCAAGAGAACTAGAATTAGAAGTGGAGCCTGAAGATGTGACTGAATTGCTGCTGTGAACATTGTTGAAATGACAGCAAAGTATTTAGAATATTACCTAAACTTAGTTGATAAAGCAGTGGCAGGATTTGAGAGGATTGACTCCAGTTTTGAAGAAAGTTTTACTGTGGGTAAAATGCTATCAAACAGTATTGCATGCTACAGAAGAATCTTTTGTGAAAGGAAGAGTCGATCATGCAGCAAACTTTATTGTTGTCTTATTTTAAGAAATTGCCACAGCCACCTCAAGCTTCAGCAACCACCACCCTGATCAGTCAGCAGCCATCAACATCGAGGCAAGACCCTCCACCAGCAAAAAGATTACGACTCACTGAAGGCTCAGATGATGGTTAGCATTTTTTAGCAATAAAGTATTTTTTTAGACATAACACTTAATAGACTTCAGTATAGTGTAAACAAATTTTATACATTAGGAAACCAGAAAATTCGTGTGACTTGCTTTATTGCAGTATTCGCTCTATTGCAGTGGTCTGGAACCAAACCCCCAGTATCTCTGAGGTATGCCTTTTTGAGATTTCACCAGTTTTCCCAATAATGTCCCTTAAAGCCAGTACATTTTTGAGACGCTTTAAAGTATTGTTTATTCTAGGTGAGTAATAGTAAGGAGCTTCTATAATATTTATTCCTATTCCAGGACATTAGTAAATGAGTGTTTGCATTTCATAGCAGATCACTAAACTCAGTTCAATCTGTTTCATGTTTCAACACTTAGGCATACCTATGCATTATGAAACATGAGCATCAGAGTTAAAATACCATAATCTGCGAATAAGTATTTTTGTCTTTGTTACTTTGCATTTTTCATCAAAAGAATTCATTAGCAGATATTATTTGTCACTTCAGATCAGTAGATCACAGGTTGACAAACCTTTTCTGTAAAGGACCAAATAAATGGTAAATATTTGTAGCTTTACAGGCTATACAGTCTCTGCCACAACTACTTAACTCTTCTGTTATACCATGAAAGCAGCCAAAGACAGTATGTAAGCAAGTGTGTGTGGCTGTTTTCCAGTAAAACTTTATTTGTGGGCACTGAAATTTGAATTTTATATAATTTTCACGTCAGGAAATATTCTTCCTCTTTTGAGCACCCCACCACCACCACCAGCATTTAGAGATGTAAAAACCCCTCTTAGCTCATGGGCTGTACAAATACAGGTGTTGGGGTATGTTTGGCCCACTGGTCGTAGTTTATCAGTCTTGTAGTAGATTATAATAGATTTCTACATTTTAAACCTGAAAACTAATATTGATAGCCATCATTTATTGAGTATTTATTATGTACCAGACACTGCACATCCATTATTTTTAATCTTCATGAATACCATACATGGATGACTGTTATCTCCTTGTTCCCAGTGAGGCAACTGAGGCTAAGTATTTTGCCCTGATTTTCACTGTCTTGCCAATTGTAGAACTGGGATTTAGGTATCAGTCTGTCACTTCAACGCCCGTGTTCTTTCCACTAGATCACATACCACTGAGCTTTGAGTGAGAATTTCTAATAAACTGAATTTCAAACTTAAAGCAAATTTTGAACATTCAGACTTCACTTTAACCAAAATTAATATCACCAAAAGGGGGAGACAAAAATCATGTGCCTCTGTATGTGATACCTTGATGCCCCCGCAAAAAACCAAACCTGTTGCCATCGAGTCGATTCTGACTCATAGCAACCCTGTATGACAGAGCAGAACTGCCCGATAGAGTTTCCATAGAGCGGCCGGTGGATTTAAATGCTGACATTTTAGTTAACAGCCAAGTTCTTAACTACTACACCACCAGGGCTCTGATATTAATGATATTGTTCAATAATTTACACATTCTGTTGGATCACCTTTCTTTGGAATGGGAACAAACATGGATCTCTTCCAGCTGGTTGGTGTGGTAGCAGTCTTCCAAATTTCTTAGCATAGATGACTCAGCGCTTCCAGTGTTGCATCCGTTTGTGGAAAAATCTCAATTGATATTCGTCAATTCCTTGAGCCTTGTTTTTTGCCAATTTCTTCAGTACAGCTTAGACTTCTTCCTTCAGTACTATTGGTTCTTGATTATATGCTACCTCCTGAAATAACTGAACGTCGATCAATTCTTTTTGGTACAGTGACTCTGTATTCTTTCTGTTGTCTTTTGATGCTTCCCGTGTCGTTCAATATTTTGCCCACAGAATTCTTCAGTATTTCAACTCAAGGCCTGAATGTTTTCTTCCATTCTTTCAGCTTGAGAAATGCCAGGCTTGTTCTTCCCTTTTGGTTTTCTAACTCTAGGTCTTTGCACGTTTCATTATAATACTTTACTATGTTGTCTCAAGCCACCCTTTGAAATCTTCTGCTCAGCTCTTTTACTTCTTCATTTCTTCCCTTCGCTTTAGCTACTCAACGTTCAAGAGCGAGTTTGAGAGTCTCTTCTGACATCCATTTTGGTCTTTTCTTTCTTTCCTGTCTTTTTAATGACCTTTTGCTTTCTTTATGTATGATGTCATCCCACAACTAGTCTGGTCTTTGGCCATTAGTGTTCAGTATGTCAAATCTATTCTAGAGATGGTCTCTAAATTCAGACGTGATACACCCAAGGCTGTACTTGGGCTTAATTAATATCACAAGTAAAATTTTGTGCTATTCAGGTTTTCAGGACCTTAATACCAGTAAAATTTTGCTGAAGATAATTCAAAAACGACTCCAGCAGTACGAAAGGGAACTGCGAAAAATTCAAGCCGGATTCGAGAGAGGACATGGAACAAGGGATATCACTGCTGTTGTTAGATGGATCTTGGCTGAAAGCAGCGAATTCCAGAAAGATGTTTACCTTTGTTTTATTGACTGTGCAAAGGCATTTGACTATATGGATCATAACAAATTATGGATAACATTGCAAAGAATGGGAATTCCAGAACACTTAATTGTGTTCATGAGGAACCTGTACATAAGCTAAGAGGCAGAGTCGTTTGAATACAACGGGGATACCACGTAGTTTAAAATCAGGAAGTTGTGCATCTGGGTTGTATCCTCTCACCATACTTATTCAATCTATATGGTGAGCAAATAATCCGATAAGCTGGACTGTATGAAGAGGAACGCATCATCAGGCTTGGAGGAAGACTCACTAACAACTTGCATTATGCAGATGACACAACCTCGCTTGCTGAAAGCGAAGAGGACTTGAAGCACTTACTGATGATCAAAGTCTACAGCCTTCAGTATGGATTACACCTCAACATAAAGAAGACAGAAATCCTCACAACTGGACCAATAAACAACATCATGATAAATGGAGAGAATCTTGAAGTTGTCAAGGATTTCATTTTATTTGGATCCACAACCAACGTCCATGGAAGCAGCAGTCAGGAAATCAAACGACTTATTGCATTGGGAAAATCTGCTGCAAAAGGCCTCTTTAAAGTGTTAAAAAGCAAAGATATCACTTTGAGGACAAAGGTGTGCCTGACCCAAGCCATGGTATTTTCAGTCAACTCATATGCGTACGAAAGCTGGGCAGTGAATAAGGAAGACTGAAGAAGAATTGATGCCTTTGAATTATGGTGTTAGCAAAGAATTTTGAATATACCATGGACTGCCAGAAGAACGAACTGGTCTGTATTGGAAAAAGTACAGGCAGAATGCTCCTTGGAAGCAAGGATGGCGAGATTTCATCTCAAGTACTTTGTTCATTGTATCAGGAGGGACCAGTCCCTGGAGAAGAACATCATGCTTGGTAAAGTAGAAGGTCAGCAAAAAAGAGGAAGACCCTCAACTAGGTGGATTGACATAGTGGCTACAACAGTGGGCTAAAATGTAGCAATGATTTTGAGGGTGGCATAGGACATGGCAGTGTTTTGTTTTGTTGTACAGAGAGTCGCTATGAATGGGAACCAACTCGACAGCACCTAACAACGAAGTGACTGGGATTACAGTGCAGTAGTGATCCTGAATGGATTCTGTATCTGGAATGGAAAAATTATTATAAAGGACATTATTGGGCCATTTGGCAAAGTTGGACTTTGCACTATAGATAAAGTATTATATCAAAGCTTACATTTCTTGAATGTGGTAACTGTAATGTGATTATGCAAGAGAATATCCCTTTTCTTAAGAAATATACACTCAACTATGAAGGGACTTGTGGTATACATACTACTTCCAAATTAATTCTGTTAGTGTTGGGGAGGTGGTGGTGAAAGTGACAAAATGTTAAATAATTGGTGAATCTGGGTGAAGAATACCAGTTCTTTGTACTATTGTTGCAAGTTTTCTGTGAGTTTGAAGCTTTTAAAAAATAAAGTGAATTTGAACTTTAGGTTGAGCATTAACTATTCTCTTAATAATTAAGTTTTGAAGCATAGAGGATTTTGTGTAGAATATAATTTCACTACCTTATTTTTTTAATATCAGGTCTTTATTAAAAAACAGGTAAATTCTGGCTGTTTATAAAGACTGCAAGTCAGCCACAGCTTCTAGGAGGCTTGCCTTTAAAACAGTAACAAAATACAACTCTAGTTGGAGAATAATACTTAACAGAGCAAAGATTGTTTTGTGGAACAAGATTTCAGATGTTGGTTGAATAAGTATTTTTTCTCATTTTTGTTTAGATATTTTATGACCTGGTCAGACAGATAAATAGAAAAACACCAGTGGAAAAGAAGAAGCCTAAAAAGAAATCATGTCTGCTGCTCTAGACCCACAGTACGCAGCAGCTCTGAGCCAGGTAAGGTGCTAAAAGCAAAACTAGTACCTTCCTCATTTTGGACTTACCCCAACCCTAACCACTTCCTGTTTCACCTACTAGGGTCTTTCCAGCCTTCTGTAACTTGTAAATGTGATGTATAACTTGTGAATATGTCCGTTAGATAATTTGTTGCTCTCTGCACTAGATATTAAGCTCTGTGAGGGCAAAGACCATGTCAGTTTTGCTCACCACCATGTCCCCAGTGTCTAGTACAGAGTGGATATTCAAAAAAATTGTGGTTAAAGGCACAGAGTGGCTCCCTAGATCACTTCCAAATTGATGCTGAATTGAAACAATGGTTCATCTGAAAAAAAGAAGACATAAGTGCACATTTGATGAATTATGTAATAAAAAAAAAAAAATTCCCATACATATCCATAGTCACTCCTCCCCAGATGTAACCCCTACCCTGATTTCAAATACCATGGATTAGTTTTGCCCTTTTTTTTGAACTTTACATAAATAAAAACATATAATGTATTAATTTATATCTGGCTTCTTTCATTCCAAAATATATTTTTGAAAATCATCCATGTTGCACTTAGAGTTAGTTCATTTTTATTGTATGACTATACTAGCAATACATTTATATATTCTATTGCTGGACATACGAATTCTTTCTATTGGGGGACTCGGCTAGTATGGGTAATTCTGCTGTGGACATTCTTGTACATGTCTTGTACACATCTTATGCATTTCTGTTGGGTATACATCTAGGAATGGAATGGCTGAATCATAGGCTATACGTATGGACTACTTTAGTAGATACTGCTAAAAAAATTTTCAAAGTTGTTGTACCAGTTTACACACCTGCCTGGTGGATGTGTGGTGGTATATATCCTGGTAGCCTTTTTTTTGTTTTGGTAGTCATTTTCTCCCAGGTATGGGCTGACTTCTTTCAAATAAATGTTTCACCTGTAGACTTCTAAGTAGTAGCTGACTTTAAGTGCTGCTTGAGTTTTCATTAAGTGAACCCATTGGAGAGAAATTAGTGGCAGCATTTAAGCTGCCTATCAAGTGAGAAACTAGTCAAGTCCAATTGTTTGTTTTTCTTTAATCATGTATATAAGTCCCCTGAGCAGTTTCTACTTATCTTCATCAGTTCTATAAACAATACCATAAAAGAGTATTTTCATGGAGTAGATTTATGATGTAATTTGATGCTAATTCTGTGAACATTACTAAACTTGGTCCAGTTAGAAGTAAACGGTTCCCACTTGAGAGTTGGTTGCACTAACTTTTCTAAGTCTCTTGGGTCCATTTAGTAGATTACCTCTTCCAGAGCACAAATTAACTAATGTTTGCTTACAGAGATGTGGATGGATCTCTCTCTTAAGGGAAACTGAGTAACTCTAGTCCTTTTTAAATGAAAGTACAGGTAAAATGGGCAGAAAGGAGAAAAGGGCATGAGGGGATTGCCTTTAGTGGTCAGAAAGGCAGCTTTTGGACAAATGGTTGCTTTAGGCTTTTAGTGCAGTCTTGATTCAATAACTGTAAATCATCAGCTCCTTGAAAGTGATTACTGTGAAGATTGCTGGTGTTTGTGTTTGTTTAGGTCAGGGTGCAAAAAGGTAGGGAAGATGAGGACTCCCATTCCAGTTCTTAAGTATATTATTTGACTCTCTTATATTTGATTGGCTTATTGATGCCATTACTTTAGTGGACCCTAGTTTATTTTCCAATTTTCCGAAAATGTCTTTTTAGTTTAGTTTAGGAAGAGGTGCCATCTCCTGGCCTATTGTGATTTTAAAAGTCATTCGTACACACCCAATAATGCAACTCTGTATTGTGCGTTTTATCCTAGTGGAGAGAAATCTTGACCTACATCTGGAAATAAGACTTTCATCCTGGTTGCATAAATTCTTAGACTCTGATGTAATTCCACTCACAATGTACAAATAAATCACTGAGATTGATCTCTATGGAGGTTTGATAATTCCAAATTATAGGCCATGTAGCAGTCAGAATACTTCGCAGTGCATTTTATTGTGATTATAGGCTTGAAGTGCCATGTTGTTCCTGTTCAAAAAGTACTGATACAAGGTAGATTTAAATAGCAATTATAAATGTGTTTACTAGGAGTACATGAACCTTGAGGGCAGCTTTTCTAGCCTGTAGCCTTTAGGCAAAATTGTATCAAAAGCATGTTAATCTCTTGTTAATATGTCTTATTTTTAAAGGCCTCTGAGAAGAATTCATCTTTAGGAGATTTTTCCTTTAAGGTAGTTCTCTTCAGCTGAGGAGTAAGACTAACTTATGTCCTTCTGCCCTTGAATATGGAGATCAGTTCTTTCTGTATCATCTCTTTTTGTCTTATCCTGTATTGGAAGTGTTAATCCTAATATATACAGTCATAAAATGGCTGAATGAAGAATTTCCCATGAAAGGTTTAATCAGGCAGGTGTTGTTTCCTTAGTGGAAAAGGAACTTAAAAGAATAAAATAATAATGTGATAGAAATGAAGTACCACTTTTCACTCTTTCCCTCTTTACAGACAGAACTGTCAGACATAATGTGAAACAAGTGTAATAAAATTAAAGATAGCTCAAGTTGATCAATTACAGACTCCTCTCCTGTGAACTCAGTCTTCTATTTGACTTTTTAAAAAATTTTTGTTGTAGTAAAATATATATAACAGAAAATTTGCCATTGTAACCATCTTGAAGTGTATATTAATTACATTCACCATGTTGTGCAACCCACTATATATTTTATTATTTTTAAAACATTAAGAGGAGGAAATTTAAAACAGCCCTGCTTCTGTAGCTATTCCGTATAATTGAGTTTTCCAGTAATGTCAACCAAAATCATTGTTTCTTTCTGTATTACTGGATATGTTTGTTTACTGCTGTCTTCTGACATCAGCACATTAACCATATATAAATATATATCTGTGTCTGTTCATTCTAGATTACAGGAATGAAGAACTGTTGCCTAATTGGAAAGTGCCAGCATTCCAGACTTCAAAAAATACATCTGAAGAGGCTTCTCCTGTTTTATATATTATGTGAAGAATTTAGATCTTATATTGGTTTGCACAAGTTCCCTGGAGAAAAAATTGCTCTGTGTATATCTCTTGGAAAATAAGACAATAGTATTTCTCCTTTGCAATAGCAGTTATAACAGATGTGAAAATAAATATACTTGACTCTAATATGATTATACAAAAGAGCATGGATGCATTTCAAATGTTAGAGATTGCTACTATAATCAAATGATTTCATATTGACCTTTTTATCATGATTCTTCCCTGTCAAGCACTAAAAAGTTGAACCATTATACTTTATATCTGTAATGGTATAGATTATGAAAATTCCCCTCAAACTCATTGCAGCAGATAACTTTTTTGAGTCATTGACTTCATTTTATATTTAAAAAAATTATGAAATATCATTCTGTCATTATATTCTAATTAAAATTGTGCATAATGCTTTGGAAAAATGGGTCTTTTATAGGAAAAAAACTGGGATAACTGATTTCTATGGCTTTCAAAGCTAAATATATAATATACTAAACCAACTCTAATATTGCTTCTTGTGTTTTACTGTCAGATTAAATTACAGCTTTTATGGATGATTAAATTTTAGTACATTTTCATTTGGTTTGTGTGTTTTGTTATTGTTTATAGATTTAAGGCCTTTATTTTATAATGACCAGATTGTTTTAAATGCCGCAGTAAACCCGTTTCTACCTGGTGCCCGCAGAACACTTGGCTTTGAAGCCTACTAAATAACCAGTGATTTCTCTAGAAACAAACCTCGGGCTTTCTGTTCTGGATGTATTTATTCCTACTGTACAGTAAAATACACCAGACTACGTAGAATAGTTTTGTATATTCTCTCTTGATCTTAAAGATTGTATCTTATTGGATGAAAATATCCCACTGTGTATTATTTTTTATATGTAAAAATAAGTTTAATACTGTATCAGGGTTTAACTTTTACTATTTCAAATCTGCCACAGCTTGTAATGTCGTCAAGGGAGTCCTTTTGCCATTGTCAATTTGTTGGCTATGAGTCCATGATTGAAGTGTTATGTGAAAATTCTAAAACTTGCTTTATAATAGACAGGAGAATTTGAGAGAAGTGAGTGAAAAAGTTAAAAAGTATAAAAGAGATGTATCAGTTGCTTTTACTTTGACTGTATTATGAAGTAGTATAGTAGTAGTCTGGAAAAGATTGCTAAGTTTAACATTTTAGCTGAATATAAAAACCTGTTGCTGTCAAGCCGATTCCGACTTCCAGCGACCCTATAGCTGAATATATAGTGGTGCTTTTCTTTTCCTTCCCAGTTTCTTCCGTTTTTACAAGAGGTGGTTTAAGGAGGACATGGACCAGGGTGATATTATTTATGCTTTCTCCATAAAGAGAGGGAAAGCAAAGAGCTTGTTAGCCAGGTAAGTGCTATAGAAGGAAAGAAAACAAGCTTAGGGAAACCCTGTGCCTTGTCCCTGAATATCAAGGAGGCGACCAGTCCTAGCAGTCTAACTCATTGCTCAGGGATCTAGATACTGTTTTATTGCAACTAGGTGTGGAAAAGTGTTCATGCTTTGCAGAGATTTTCCAGGAGTATGGTCAGCCCATCAGTCACTAAATTGAAATTTAAAAATCAGATTTCAAATGTAAGCTCTGACCAACCTGGGAAAGTGTTAAAATATTGTGAAACATATTTGGAAATTGTATTCTTTTGGGTTTCTAATAAACTTAGTTACCTAACACTTCCCTTCTACTGATCCAGTTATGCATATGTCTGGGATTGAGGGACCAAAAATATAATAATTTTTTTTTTTTATTTTTATTTTTTAATGAGTGAAGCATTAGGGCCTGTTTGACCAGGTCAGGGTGACATATTTTATTTGTAGGGCCTCTAAACTCACTCTGCTTTAAAACTCACCTTCCAAACATTTCATTCCTTAAAATCTTAGACAGGCATCTTATAAACAGGTAAAACTTTCTAAATATCACCTTGTTATATAGATTGTGTAGTTATTTGCCAAGTTAAGTGGAAATCATTAGATGAAAATAACTCCAAGCTGCAATCTGCTTAACTAGGAGCATAAACTCAGTCTCCTCTACTTTAGAACATGGTAGAAAGAAAATGATAGTTACTGAATTCCTTTGTCACATCTTATACAGTCCACTTGGGTTACAGGTGGAACTGTCAAGAAAAATGCCCTTTTGACACACAGGACCAATTGAAATCAGAGATGTGCATTGCCGTCTCAGGGAAAACTGTAGTTACTGAGTAGGGTGGAAAGGCATCCGGTTAGCAAGTGAGATAAGTGTGTTTTTATGTTGTCTCTGTGTAAACTCCATCTTAATTCCAGAGGGGAGGGTGCCTGAAAATAAGATTTGTTTAAATTATTTTATTGGGGTTAATATATATATAATTTTAACCATTTTTAAATGTGCAGTTCAGCAACATTAATTACATTCACCACGTTGTGCAACTATCACCACTATCCATTTTGAAATGTTTTTCATCACCTTAAACAGAAACTTAGTACCCCTTAAGTAATAACTCCCCATTTCCCCCTCCCCCAGCCCCTGGTAACCAATAAGAAGCTTTTGCCTTTATGCATTTGCCTATTAAGATGTATTTTTATAGCTGAAAAATCAAGTCTTCTAGGTTATTATATGAAATCTACATGATAAACATCCAGGAACTGATACCATATCAGTATTTGTGACTTTTTAAAGTGTAATAGCTTCAGTTATATGAGTAACATATAATTTAAAGGAGGCTTGGTGCCAGTAAAATACAAATGTGTTTCCCACTGAATCACATATAACGTCAATGGCTTGGGTTTTTTTGACTCATAGCAACCGTATAGGACAAAGTAGAACTGCCCCATAGGGTGTCCAGGGAGTGGCTGATGGATTCACACTGCCAAACTTCTGGTTAACAGCCATAACTCTTAACACTGTGTCCCCAAATAAGTTTTAGAAATTTAACAGTAAACACATAACTTGACTACAGTCTTACCCCCCACCAGGGGGAGCTTCAGTATCAGTTAACACTTCTGAAGAAGAGTTGAATTAAAATTACGTATTCAAACCATTTATTCTGTAAGCACTGCATGCTTCACAAAGAGGCACAGAGGCAAGAGGCTATGTTTGTAATCTAATGGGGCAGGAAGATACAAAAAATTACGAAAGACAGGAATAACGCTGTAATTTATTGAAATATGGCCACAGGGGGCGTTCTCTTAGGACTGTCTAGAGAAATGTGGTTGTTGGTGTGTTGCTCTCTCCCCCCTGCAACTCTGAACTCGTTTTCTCTGTTTGACACCCTCATCTACCGTCATAACTGGCCATCTTTTACTCTTCAGTGAAACAATCCCTCTTTGAAGTTATAATGTACTGGGAAAAAGTTAAAACTTTAGGTAAGTTACAGATCTTCATTTTATTACCAACTTTATTAAAACTCACAGGTGACTTTGGCTGGAACTATTTTTCTCCATATAGGAATAGTGATAAAACACCCTGCATTTTCTGGACCTGCCCATTTTCAAATATTTTGCCTCATTATCCTCATAAAAAAACCACACCCGTTGCCCTTGAGTCAATTCCGACCATAGCAACTGTATAGGACAGAGTAGAACTGCCCCATAGGGTTTTCAAGGAGCGGCTGGTGGATTCGAGCTGCCAGCCTTTTTTGGTTAGCAGTTGTAGCGCTTTTAACCACTGCACCACCAGGCCTCCCTTATCCTCATAGGTACACATATGTTTGTCAGATCATGTGTCTGATTTTTGTTTTAGGGACTAAGGGGTAGAAAGAGAAATGAGGAATACCTCAGTATTTTCCTTGGTAAGCAGCCATAGTAGAATGTCAGAAAACAAAATATGCTTCTATAAATTGCATGTGTGTGATGAAACCAAAGTGTGAAGAAATTATCAGGTATTTGGAGGAGAAAAATAACCCGTAAAATAGCCTTTTGTTTTATTTGGGTCTTGTACTTAATTTAAGGTGCTACTTGTGTTAAAATCACCCCTCTTGACTCAGCTCCAAACTTGAAAGAGTGAAGTGGCTTGGGTGTTTGTCCAGGAACTGAAAAGAGCCGATCTTGCAGGGAGGGAAATGAATGTGGGCTTTGAGGCAGTCTAACCGCCCAGCTTTTAGCATTTATGTTCCCCCAAATGTAAAGAATGTGAGTTATTCCTGAAAATGTAATACAGACATTGCATTGATAGGGATTTTGCTTACTGTAATTTCATCCTGGGCTTGTTGAATGTGCTGTCCATGTATTGCCCTGTCTTGCTTAAATATTCTTGTTGAGAACAGCTGGAGGCTTTTTTGAACTGGGTGCCTAGTTCTGTTTTCTGAGACGGCAACATGGATTCTGTTTTGCAGACATTAACAAGAGCTTTAAAAAGGGAATTGCAGGATGCAAGGCCTTTGGGCTTGTTAAGAGGCCTCCTGTGGTTCTGGGCCCAAGGTGTGGCATGCGTTTCCTGCTAATTATTTCCCTTCAGAAGCAAGCGTTTGACTGTTCCGCTTGAGGAAAAACCTTAATAAACCTTCCCATTTTAAGCAGTCATGTGACTCTTATTTTGAGCTGTTGTTTTCAATACATTTTTTTTAAGCTTAATTATGTGCAAATTCCTGTTCCAAATGTTGTAGGGGATACAAAGCAGAACAAGGCATGATGCTTTGAGCCCGTCACCAAATATTTATTACACTGCTACTATATGCTAGGTAATGATCTGCATGCTCGGGGTACAGTAGTGAACAATATAGTGAACCAAATCCCTTCCTTCATGGGGCTTATATCCTTAGGAGGTAGCAAAGATAATAAAATTGTGTGTGTGTGTGTAACACAGGTTATGTATTTACACATACGTGCTTATATATGATGAGTGCTATGGGAGAGTTAAGTAGTAAAGGGACAGGAGAACTAAGCAGACTGGTGTGGTAGTAGGTCAAAGGCTTAGGTCACTGAAGTTGATTTTAAGTAATATCTGAAGTGTGCAGCCCACGCCACTGCCTGGGAGGAAGAAGGGCCATCCAGGCAATGGGAAGGCTCTGAAAAGACTGTAAAGTGGAAGTGCACCTGGCATGTTGGAGGACTAGCAAGGAGGCCAGTGTGGCTGGAGCCAAGTGAGCATGGAGGTGAGTAGTAGGAAGTAACAGAGGTAATAGGGTTGAGTGAGGGGCAAATTTCCTTCAGCTTTTACTTTGGGATCCATGGAAGAGATTTGAACAAAGGGCATAACATGATCTGACTCGACCTATCATCAGGAATACTCTGGCTGTTGGGATGAGAATAACCTATAGAGACGCAGGATGGAAGCAGAGAGCAGCTAGGTGAATGTATAATCAAGTGAGAAATGGTAGTTTGGACCACAATGGTAGCAGTGCAGATAGAGGTGGATACATTCCAGATATACTTTGAAACCTCAAGCCAACAAGATTTATTGATATATGTAGAATGTGACAGAGAGGAGTCGGATGACTCCCAAGATTTTTGGCTTGTAATCAAGATAGTGAATATTATGGTAGGAGCAGGTTTGGAAGGGGAAGGGGAGGTGGGTCAGGAATTTAATTTTGAACGTACTAAATGAGAAGTTTATTGGATTCTAGAGATACATAATAGGCAGTTGGGTAGTAGTATGGAATTCAGGGGGAAAAGTCTGGACAGGAGATACACATTTGATCTATAAAAACATGAGGCTGGATGGGATCACTAGGGCTGAATGTGATAGAAAAGAGGTCCAGGAACCAAACTCAGAGGTACTCAAACATGAGGCTGGGAGATGAAGAGGAACTAGCAAAGGAGAGTGAGTGTGGAGGTCACTGGTGACCTGGATGGCCTTTTGTCAGTGGAGTGGTTGGTTGGGGACAGTGTCGGGAGAGGTTTAGGAGCAGAATGGGAAGAAAGAAATTGGAGGCATTAAACATGTACTACCCTTTTTAGATGGATGAAACAAGGATGTTTGTGTGCTAATAGGAGTGGCCCACTGAGAAGGGAAATTGAGTAAATGGACAGAATCTAGTATTCAAGTGAAGGAGCTGACCCCAGATGGGAGCATGGGCAGGTATAGTGGCAGTTCTCTCACAGTGGCAGGAGGGAAGACAGCATATTAGATACAGAAAGAACTGTAAAGA